TGGTTTCCGTGCCGTAAGCGTTAGTAACTTCAATGCCGATGGCAACAGCCTCTCCCTGGGTGGTGTTGGCCCAAATGACCTTGTTCGCACGAGTATTGGAAATAATCTTCAGGTTTGAGCGGGCTTCATATGGCCAATAGTAAGCCCTGGCAGCATCTTCGCGGACATTCATCTCTCGGTCCAGAGTGTCGGGATGGACAGTGAATCCGACCATCTTGCCGCCTTCAGAATCGGGGTTGTACTGAACGCCCAGTTTCTCAAAGGTCTGTTCAAGGACAGAGAAGACGCTGCTGTTGGTCATGGAGGTAGGCCAGCCAACCTTCAGAGGGCCATTCAGACCATGATAGCTAGCGTTGTAGTTTGCACCGTGAGCGATTTGGTCCTTGGTGGGCACCTGGAAGCCTTCCGATTTCTTGTAATATTGAAATAGGTTCTTCCAGTTCCAACCTTCGTTCCCAAGCACCTCCCAATTGTCAATCTGCACGTCTTCGGCCCGAGTATAGGACATTCCTGTTGTAAGAGATATAGTCAATACCAAAGTATCTACCATGTGTTTGTAAGGGAAAGAAAGAATGACTCACCATTGATTGTGCTTGTACCTCCAAGTGCCTTTCCGGCACGGATAGTCTGCTGCAAGCCACCTGCATATGTCTGGTTCTCGGTTTGGTAGGCCCAGTCGACCTCCGTCCCGAATGCCGTGCTGTAGCCCATGACATTAGACACATTGAAGTTGTTCAATGCAGATTCACCGGCCTCAATGACGGCTACAGTGACATTCTTCAGTTCCGAGAGTCTGTTGGCAACAACCAAACCACTGGTGCCTCCACCGACAATGACAAAATCATAGTGAGGGGATGAGCCGGCGTGACTTTTGGCGGCTGCGCCTAACGAGAAGGCCGCGAGAACAAGAGAGGAAAGAAGCATCTTGATGATAGATGCACGGGGGGTTGGAAGTTATTGAATGTCTCCCCAATTATTTGACTTGATGAGCAACATTACGATCAGAGCAAGACCCTGTCTTTTTATACAGGCATTGAAGAGGGCTACATGTCTGCTGCCCATAGAGAGACTTCTAGAAAAGAACCTCAGACAATCCTAAGACTAAGATCTTGACCCACCCAGTGTAATGCCGTTAGACTCTTGAAGCGCTATCCATAGCCAAGGTTTCTTCGCTTCAGCAAATGTCAGTGATCGGTCATGATTATCAAACAGCGGGATTCAAGGGTCTTTGGGTCTCGCCACGCGGGAAGCTCCATATCTAAGTGGATACTCTGGTTATAACCAGCCAACCCCGAAGGACGGGGTCCTGAAATACGGATTTGTAATAGACTGAATAATCTTCGACCAAGAATTATAATCCTGGTTCTCTAATTCCGCTCTTCGGACAAGTCGTCGGCCGAAATGGGGCGTGTTTGCATGTACGGCAAACCGATTCTAAAGCGCTAGTGCCGGAGTGAAACCGAATCTAGATCCGGCTTTCCGAAGCGGCATCCCGATTACATATTGCGGCAGCGTAGGCAGCAATTCCGATCACAGAGCACTTGTCGGTCTACTTTGTGCCCAATGAAATGTCTTGCGGTTCGCTTCCGCTATATTCTCCGCCAAGGAATACTTGAGGGATTTATCCGTTCTTACAAAGGTCCAAGGAGGAAGTTCAATGTCAAATCAATTGGGATGTAAGCGTGCCTTTCGTACCATTGGTGGCTGAGGCAACGCCGGTAATTGCTATCATTATAGCCTCTTTGTCAGCCATGACTACTTCTACAATGAACTGGGGGTCGTATGGGATAGAGAGAGAAAGACAACAGTTTAATCCTCGTCAATTCTCCGACTAAGATCATAAACGTCCTACAGGCTAGTTCAATAGTAGATCCGCCGCCTTTTCTGCTACTGCATACAGGATAGCCTGGTAATGCGCCGCAAGAGGCACAGGCAACACACTGGCATCCGCAACTCGCAGTCCTTTCACGCCCTTCACTCGCAGTTGAGTGTCCACGACCTTTCCCATGGACGCCGAGCCACCTGGGTGAAAGAATGTGATCGCACCATTCTTGATGTTACTGTCAATTTCCTCATCGGTGGACTCGAGTGTGATGGGTTCACTGCCTGGTCTGGGTACTTCGTGCTCCACCATATCTTGACCCTCCGGCGTGTCTAGGATGAGCCTAGCCACTCTCCGGATCCCGTCTCGGAAAATCGCTCGGTCCACTTCCTTGGAACAATAGTTGGGATCAATGACGGGTGCACTTTCCGGATTTGCATTAGCCAGAGTGATTTGGCCTCGTGCTGTAGGGGCCATCAAGAGGACAGCCGTGCTGATGTGCGTGCCATCCATGTCTGTTTCAAAGCCAGTTACGGCGCGACTCATCGGTGCGTAAATGACCAGAACCTCAGTGTGCGCAAAGCCCGCCTCAAAGTATGGGTGATCTTTGGGTGGATTTTGCCCGTCGTCTGCTTTGAACGCCTTGATCAACTCCTCTGAAGGAGTCTGTAGCGTCACGTTCCAATCATAAGGTACCCCCATGCCATACGCCGGACTATCCCAAAGGGGCGTTCCCATAGAGAGACCCTGTTCAGGGTGACGCAGTTTCCACCATTGGGGGAAGCACATGTGATCATGGAAGTTACGACCCACTTCTGGGGCATTCACAAGCTGTAAGATGTTGTGTTTCGCCAACTCTTCTGCAGATCCAATTCCAGAGAGCATGAGAACCTGCGGGGTGCGGTACGCTCCAGCAGAGATAACCACTTCTCTTGTGGCATGGTATTCTTGTCCATCGACGACTTGAACTCCTGTCGCGACCTGCTCACCGTCTTGGTCCTTGAGAACCACCTTTGCGACCAGAGTATCGGTAACAATGGTAATGCTTTGATGCCCGGACAATCCGTACGCCTCACTAGCAAGCTGACGCTGTCCTTCACGCCAGTTCTCTCCAAAGTGAGCTAGGCCGAGCGGGCTTCCCGCGTTGGCATCAGGGTTGAACTTCACGCCAATTCGTTCCCATGCAGAGCGAACAGGCTCTTTGAGGGGATACTTCCGGTCCGGGCTGGTGAGCTCGACAATAGTATTGGTGATGGGGCCGCTGGTACCGTGAATTGTCTCGTCAACATTGGGATCGTAATGTGTCTCGACGCGCTTGAAGTAAGGAAGTAGACCTTCGTAGCTCCAACTAGAGTCCCCGACCAGCTTTGCCCAGAGGTTATAGTCGGCAGCGTTTCCGCGGGTCCAGGTCCCGTAGTTTATCGCCGTGCCTCCACCCAGTGCCTTTCCAGCCGCGTTGTAGCATTCGCGATTGTTGAGATGCTTCTGTGGAACCGTGGTGTAGTCCCAGTCTAGAGGCGAGTGATGAGCACCGAAGCATGCCAATGGAGTGCTGGTGAGAGGATGATCGACCACGTTAGGTCCGGCTTCAATAATCAAGATCCTCAGTGACTCGTCTTTCTCGGCCAGTCGACCAGCTAGTGCACAGCCCGTCAGACCTCCGCCGACAATGATATAATCGTAAGAGTCAGGCATGACTGGTGTGACTTGACTATTATGACTAGTAACCCGAAATTGAAGAAGGTGTGGAATCGCAAAAGAGGGAGTAGCACTATGATAGAGTAGTAAAGCTATGAAAGTGGTTCTGTTGACAATCGACAGGAGGGTGTAGGGCTAGTGGGGGTATTTAAGCGTTCATCTCACTCAAGGCTGACGAGGTCAGGAAAGCCCAGACAGCTACGGAAGGTTGTAAGAGGAAATTCCGTCCATTCTTGATAGCAGTAAAATTTCAAGTAGTCTCAGAGAATTGATTGGTTTTCATACTGCAGTAAACCCCTCTTCGTTGGCAGTCAACAAACAATTACAAAGAATAGACAAAGAAACGCGGTCCCACCAGCTCTAAGCCAGGCGCATTAGCCTGCAGTAGCACATATTGAACCTTGACTGCTAAATCCTATCACCGCTAGTAAAGAGCGGCTTTGTTGCGCTAGCATGCACTAACATAGGGCAGTCAAAAGGTCATGTTACTTGAATTAATACAGGTGCTTTGTCCTGTAGCGAGAGGGTACCTAGTAAGCGTTACACACCATTACCAATAAGGCTTATTCCAACAGCAGGCCGTACGCCATGCCAGCTAAGAACAGACGTCGTCGATCATCCTGCCAACTGCAGCTATCCGCGAGACTCGCTATTTGGGATCGACGACTCACCATGTCCCTTGACCTTTTACGCGAACACAGATCCATCCTATACAACCGTGCTAGCAAACGAATGTGGCGTCAAGGCATACCCGGGATTGGTAAGTCGAGTGTTGGGATCGTCGACGTACGTAAGTTGATTTGGGAACATTATTTCATCTCATGTTGCAGACTATCAAAGTGAGGTCATGACTCCAGAGGATGAGCCTGAAGAGATTAAGTGAGCTGTCCTTGTACAGTTTACAGGGACATACGTCGATCTATAACATCCTCCGGGTGTCTTGGTAGGCGACCCAGAAAAGCATGTATAACTTTTGACTGCGGGGTTTCATTATGGCGACATGGAGGATGCCGCGGCTATATTGGTTAACCTGGTATGCAGGGAATGGACATATGGTGTTTTAGTCCAAATATTGCTTTTGTGTACACCTTGACAGATTTGGATTGCAGAAGACGGGTATATTCGGTTCGGAATCCCTGCCTCCGAACACACCCCCCTGCAACCCCCCTGCCTCGTCTTCGAGATGAAGAGGTCTGGGCTGTTCATTATGACTTGTGCTTATTTTCATAGTGTTTCGGGCATATTCTGGGAATCTGTTGTAGTGCCACCGTCAAGCGCTGGTTACCCCTCTCCTACGGCGCGTATTGCAGCCATGTGGTTGGCGGATGCGACGAGACGATGAGGCTGAGGCCGCAGTATCCTGTTTACCACCAGCGCGAATGGAGCGACAGGCCATCCCACAAGTTCGAGGTTTGACTAGGAATTTACAATACGATAGAAGAGGGTCTATATTGTTTTGTCGGTCAGATGGAAAGCTGGAATGCGCCCTCAAACTCGAGAGAATTTCACAATCGCAATATTCTGCGCCCTTCCCGTTGAGGCCGAGGCCATAGAATGCCTTTTCGATGAATCCTATGACCGGTTGAGCAAGTATTACGGAAAGCGACAAGGCGATACCAATACCTACATCAATGGGAGAGTCGGTGACCACCATGTCGTTCTTTGCTACATGCCAGGAATGGGAACTACCAACGCCGCGGCTGTCGCCTCAGCATTGCGAGCCAGCTACCCTAGGATACAGCTTGCCCTGGTTGTCGGTATATGCGGAGGGGTCCCAACGGTTTCGAAGAGTGAGAATATCTTCTTGGGTGATGTAGTTATCAGTGACTCTCTGGTGCTATATAATTTGGGCAGACAATATCCTGGGTCTTTCGAAAGGAAAGCCGAGGTCCAGGAAGCTCTTGGAAGGCCAAACCCAGAGATACGAAGTCTCCTCAATGCCCTGAGATCAACTCATTCCCATAACGAACTTGAGTCCCAAATAATGCAAAATGTTCAAGAGCTACAAAAGTCAGATAAGAAGTGGTGCCATCCACGAATTAATGACATCCTCTTTGACGCTTCTTATATCCACAAGCATCACCAACAAGACTGCAATGCCAGTTGCGTCTGTCTGGTGAGTGAAACACTCGATGATATTTGTGAAGATGCTCTAGCGAAAAGCTGCGATGATCTCGGATGCGACAAAAGCCAAATCATCCGCAGTCTAAAACCTGTGGAAAGGGTCGGTGTCTCGGCCCATATCGGAACAGTTGCCTGCGCAAAAGGAGTGATGAAGTCTGGACATCACCGCGACAAAATTGCGAAAAAAGACAAGATTATAGGGTTTGAAATGGAGGGAGCAGGTGTGTGGGATATCTTTCCGTGTGTCGTGATAAAAGGTGTGTGCGACTATGCGGACAGCCACAAGAACAAACTATGGCAAAAATACGCTGCAGTGACAGGAGCCTCGGCAGCGAAGGCATTTTTAGGGTACTGGAGGCCTCAATGTCATCAAGGTTAGTAATGAATAGTCCACCAGTCTGGCTTCCCGCTCACTGTTCGATCTCTTTATATAAATAGCGGAGAAGGTCGGGACTTATCACTTCTCTGTCCCTTTTGGCAGAAACCATCATTTTGTGGGCCGCCAAGACGAACTTGCCCAGTTGGAGAAATGGGCTATCAACCCCCAAGAGCGAGGAAAGCTCGCAGTTACTGGATTGGGCGGCATAGGTAAGACACAGATAGCTCTAGAGCTAGCATATCGCATGCATCACAATGATTCCGAATGTTCGATACTCTGGATTCCATGCAAGAACAACGACTCTTTTCGACAAGCCTGTATGGCCATTGCACAAACCTTGGGCATCCAGGATGTTGATCCAGCAAAAGTGGAGGAGCAAGTTCAGGCGCATTTTTCAGCCAGACAAATGATAGGTGGTTGTTAATCCTGGATGGCGCCGATGACATGGATATGTGGATGAATGGCAGCGGTACAACTGCGCCTCTCAAGAATTTCCTTCCTTCCAACAGGCACGGCCGCATCATCTTCACTACTCGCAACCGGAAATTAGCCGTGAAGCTTGCATCGTGTGATGTGATACATGCACGCGAGCTTGACGAACAGGCGGGCGTGGAACTGTTGAGGCAATCCTTGATCCAACAAGATCTAGTCGAAGATAAAGACGCCGCAACCTATCTCGTTAAACAGATAGCCCTCCTTCCACAGGCTATTACACAGTCTGCGGCATATATGAACGAAAATGAGATAGGAGTGTATGATTATCTGATGCTGCTCCACGAGCACGAGGACAATGTCGTGGAGCTTCTCAGTGAGCATTTTGAAGCTGATGGGCGCTACGATGATTCCAAGAATCCAACAGCCCTGACGTGGTTCACCTCGTTTCGTCAAATCGAGAAGCTTGATTCGCTGGCTACCGAGTATCTCTCACTTTTGGCCTGTCTAAGCCAACAAAGTATATCGAAATCGTTTCTTCCACGACCAGTGTCGAGAAAGAAGATGGTTGAAGCCCTTGGGCTTCTAAGTGCCTATTCATTCATTACTATCCGACCGGGCGATAAGTGCATAACCATGCATCGTCTGGTGCGTCTAGCAGCTCGGCAATGGTTGAGGAGTCAGGACCGCCTGGAAATTTACACGCACAAGGCAGCAGATCGGCTGAGTGAAGTCTTGAATAACGACCCTGTCAACGAGAAGCACCAGAGGCAATACGTACAACATACTGAGTTTTTACTTCATGAACTTCATGCTATGGCAGTCCAAGCGCAATGGAACGTGCGTGGGCTTGGTGGTGATGGAAATAAGGCTGAGGAAGAGAAATTGGCTGTGCCGAGGACCAATACATTATCCCATAGCCTGGAGCCATGATATTCGAGACGCATATGGCAAACAAAGGGTGCTGCATTAGCATAGCCAAGGCTAACATGCTGGCGAAATCAGAAAGAAAAAGATTGGGTATGACAGTGATACTGGCGACGGTATTATACACTTAACGGGATCTGAGGACTCCAAGCAATGTTTAAAAGGTTGTCCATAGAAGGATGAAACGAGACAGGAAGATAAAAACAGGAAAAAAAGAAAAGAGAATTATGTGAAAGCCGTCATTCAAGGTTAAAACCACCGTAATAAACACACAACGCCTTGCTAGCACCTTCCATGCAGTAATGCATCACCACTGACTTTTGACCCTCCTTGACAACTTTTGCCATCTGCTTGACGTCCGACGTCCGAGGGAGATAGAGAACCATGTGTTCCGTAAACATGGAGTACTCTTTGTATAGTTTTGCGAGGGAGTATGGCTCCATAGTACTCAGGTTAAACACCGTGTCGGAGCGATACCCGGGGCCTATAACGAATCAGTTGGCTACCAAGACACAAGGGGAGACGTATGGGCACATACCACCCCATGGCGGACTAGCAAACAAGACACTATATGGTGCCAAATCCTTCAGCTGATTCTTGATAATATCGAAACAATCACCCTCAAACCAGGTGATCTTGTCCGCCACGCCGTAGATCTTGGCGTTGTGTTTGGCGCACTGCAGGACAGCGGGATTCTTCTCGATAGCGTAGACGCGCTTCCATCTACCGGACAGAGCAAAAGCGATAGAGTTGCCGCCCGCGCCCGCGAATGCATCTACCAGGATGCTGCGTCCTGCGGGAGCGGACTGCGCCATGTGTTCTGCTATTTTGCTGCATAAATGTATTAGTTGCTTAGCTCCAGCTAGTGGACAAGAGAACACGCACTTTGCCACAGGTTCGGGCGTAACACCAAACCAGGCATCATCTGTCAGCCAGACACCCTCATCGTACTTGGAGAAGATCTTGTAGCGTTGCGCCCAGTAGCTGTTCCGCAGTGTTAGTCAATTTCGGTTCCGCAACGTATGGACAGGGAATAATGGTATTACTTCTGAATATCCCACGGCACCTCGCCAAGATCATTGTAATGATGTACCTCCTCCGGAGGAACCTCCACGGTAGGGTCTCGAGCCATGATCGCAGTATAAATGAGAGTTGGTCAAGGACTGAAGCTAAAGGCGGAGCGCAATCGCATCGCGACGATATCAGCCATTGCGATAAGCGATAACCGGTGTTTGCAATGTTTGCAGCGCCGGGCAGCTCTCCACGTTGCGCATCTGCCTTTCCTCCGCACTGCCCAATGCCCCCATCCTCTCTCCCCACACAACACATACCCCCTTCCTCGCAGCAGATATGTTCGGGGCCCTAAATCGGTTTATTGGCTTGGACGCTGAGCCTACCCGACAGGCGCGGGCTCAAAGCACCAGCGACAACTCCTTTGGGTTCCAGGTCCTCCGCAACAAGGATGCGGAGCTCCCTCTGGAGCCGTGGTTCGATTTCATTGTCGGGATTAATGGGCGGTTAATAGTGAGCTCACCTCTTTACAATATGCGCGAGTTAGACTAACTAACTACCTATCAGGAGGACCCCGACCCCAACCTCTTTGCTACGGAAGTGCGCCACTGCGCCGGATCCAGCGTGACCTTTGAAGTCTGGAGCGCCAAGGTACAAACATACCCAGTACCATCCTTAGTACTCGACTAATACCATCTGAAGGGCCAAAAAACACACACCGTCTCCATCCCCGTCCCCGCATCCAACCCCGATCTGGGCCTGGCGCTCCAACTAGCCCCCCTCTCCTCCACCCAAAACATCTGGCACGTTCTCTCGATTCCATCTCCACTCAGCCCCGCCTACCGCGCAGGTCTCCTTCCACACTCCGACTACATTATCGGCACCCCGAGCGGGACATTACGCGGGGAGTCAGCACTCGGGGAGCTAGTTGAGGACCACCTCAATCGCACACTAGTCCTATGGGTTTACAACAGCGAGTTTGACGTGGTGCGCGAGGTCGAGCTGGTGCCGACACGGGGCTGGGGAGGTGAAGGAGCACTAGGTGCGGAATTGGGCTTCGGTGCACTACATCGGTTGCCGGTAGGGTTGGGCGAGGAAGTCGAGGGACCCGGCGAGGTGGTCTTCGAGACACGGGATGACGGCTCATCCGCGCCGGTAGTGGAAGCTCTGGGTCAGGGACCTCCGCCATCTGGACATTTCCTCGTCCCGGCTAATATGACCTCTCCTCCGCCGTTGTCGGGACCTCCAAGGAATCTGGCAGCATCGCCCGCTAGTCATTCGTCTGCGGGTCGGCGGCATAAGACGCGTCATACAGGATCCGCAGCGGCAGTGTCATTTGATGACTACTTTGCGGAGGGCGAGCAAAAGAGCAAGGAGCAGGACTTTGCGCCGTCCCGCAGGGGAACGCCACTACCGCCTCCGCCCAAGGCTGGCGTGCGGTCACCGCCTAGCTCGGGGAGTCCGGCGCCAGCGGCTGCCCAATAGACTAGGGCTAAGAGATCAATTGTGTACAGTAGTCATGAAGATCGGTTATTATGATGGCCTAATAGGTCTTTTCATGCATTGTTTCCCGGTAAATAGGTCACTATTGCACTGCTGCATCACGGAAGCGATATCTTGTTGGTTTTTACATTCCAATTAAGGCGTGACTGGGCGCCGCTTTAGGCTCACTGACAGCCCTGGGGCAATGGGGTAAGCATTACTAACAGTATACATGAAGGCAAGAGGACTGGGTATCTTAATGGTAGTTACTATACATTTCTTGGGGTGGAAACACGAAGCCGGTCCTTGGTTTTCTGATGACATTCCTAGTAATAGAGTACTACTAGTAGCAGCCAGCTGTCGTGAATCGGGCCCCAACACTTATGCGTGATCTACTGCCTCGAGAACATTGACCACGGCTTCATGGCCGGCGTGCCGTGCAATATCCAAGGCGCTTTGGCGGTTTCTATCCACTTGAAACAGTTCCACCCCTGGAGTACTGGCCAAAATGGCCACAATGCTCGCATGGCCCATCTTCGCCGCAATCCCTAGCGGAGTATACCCCTCTCTATCGCGCTGGTTGAGCTGGATGCCAGGGCAAGCTACCAGCATCTTCACGACACTTGTACGTCCATTACAGGAGGCAATCCACAGAGGTGCCTGCTCTGTGCGAGAATTGTATAAAGGGGCTGTGCCATTCAAATCCACGCCGATGTCGATCGAGAATCTTACAATATCATCAAATTTTTTTGCCACGGCCGCAGGCAGGGGTGTTGTACCATCAACATCCACCCTATTGATAGCCACTCGGCCAGTATTTACCAGAGCCTGGACGATGTGATAGTAGCCTTTCGATGCAGCTCTCCAGAGCGGCGTAGTACCTGTTGCGTTGGGGCATTCCACATCGACCCCATCAGTGCTTGCAAGGATGTTGACAATCTCAGTATGGCCATTGTCCGCAGCGGCCCACAGTGGCGTTGTGCCGTTCTGATCCTTGCGATTGAGATCGACTTGGCCGGTGGAGATCAGGATCTGGACTACTTCTATGTGTCCCTTGGATGCCGCTATCCCAAGCGCTGTATCGCCATTCATGCGTGGGAAGTTCAGATCGATTCCTTTCGCATTAGCCAGAATCCTGACAATGCCACTGTGGCCACGGTTCGCAGCTGTCCACAGTGGTGTAACGCCTTGATGACCCCTCCGGTTATGAATGATCCGCTGATTATAGGCGAGTATTGCCACAATCTCCTCGCATCCTTCCTCGACTGCTAGCTGCAAGGGCGTCATGACATCCTGGGCTTGCCGATTGATGTCTGCTTTATCCAGCCCAGCCAGTAGCCTGACCACACTGACCTTGCCCATAAGGATGGCTGTTTCCAGCGGGGTGCCCGCTCCAACTCCGCTGCGGTCCGGGTCGAGACCCTTGATAGTAATCATGGCTTGAACTACGTCTTCGTGACCGTTGAACACCGCTGCCCATAGTGCCGAAAGGCCAGCTTGGTCTAGGTGGTTTATATCCACACGACCCGTTTTCGCAAGGCATATGACGATCCCGATGTAGCCTTTCGAGGCCGCAATCCAGAAGGGCGTTTTCCCACGAGGGTTAGGCACGTCCAGGTTAATGTCCTGGTACTGGCAAACTGACTGAATGACTTCCAGGTTCCCATTTTCGGCTGCTAGCCATAATGGCGTCTTTCCTTTTGTGTTGGCGGTCAATACTGCTTGAGAGCCCTTCTTCTCTAGCCGCGCTTGTTCGAAAAGAAGATTGAAAGCCTTCGCATGGCTCTGATTGGCGGCAGCAATATGAAGGGCCGAGTCTCCGGATGGAGCCATGGCAAAGATATCGGTGTGCGGGCCCGACAGAAACATTGGGATCGCTTGCACAAAGTTGAGGAGCGTAGCGGCTATTAGAGGGGTATAGCCGTCGGAATCCTTTTGGTTCCGATTTACCCGGTCACAGCCAAGAAAGCATTTGGTCAGTTCGACATCTCTCATAAGTATTGCAGATGTGAGAGGTGACTTTCCTGACGGACCTACCACATTAGGATCCACAACGTCACTCTGCAGCAGGGAGTCAACAACAGCGATATGTCTCCCATTCATGGCCCAGAATAGCGGGGAATTTCCAGAAAGATCGTCGGTATGGCGAGCACCATGGACGAGGAGCCACTCAACAAGACCCAGTCTCCCCCACTGACAGGCATGGGATAGCGGTGTCTGCCCAGATGAGTCCTGTTTGTCATAGCCATGAGCCTCCAATAGGTTTATCAGGAGCTTGTGTAGGTTTGGCGTATCAGGGTCAAGACACCAAATATGCTCCTGCCACCATGCCACTGCATATTGGTAGAGGGCCCAAGGCACACTGTCAGTTGCCCTGGAGGCTTTCAGGTATTGTATTAGACTATGGCCAACATCCTTATCATTGCTCTTTTTCAATCTCAGCAGCTTCAATGCAAAGCTCTGGGATTGGCGACGAGCGGGAACCGTCGAGTTGACCACCGCTGCTGTCACCGAGCTGGAGCTAACTTTAGGTGTCTTCACTGTCGACAACTGCCTAGAGAACACATCATAATTCAGGTAGGTGACAATGATCCCTGCCATGGTTTGATTTGCACAATTCGCATCAAGCCCTCCTCCGGTCTGGTCGAATAAATATGTTTTCACACTATGATGCACAACTCGAATACTCGAGCTTTCTTCATCTACAGTAAGCAAGCTCCCGCAGCAGCTTAATGTTGCATGCATGTCATTCAATCTCCTCGCGGGGTCCCAAGACGTCTTCCAAGGAACAACACTAAGGGCTTCTGTCATTTCCTCTGTTGTCAGTGGCCTGCATGCGATCGCAACTAAATCCAGAATCTTGGACTGATACGTGGCACCGTAGACGCTAGATTTCCTCAATATCGTGGTATATAATGCCGACAGATCTCTAGGCAGATTTGCAAGGGCATCTCGCACATCTGCGTCTGTTCTCTCCAGACACAGGGCTTCTATCTGCAGAGACGCCCACAGAAACATTCCCTGGGCTCCTTGAGAAAGGCTATCCCGGATCTCGAGAATAAGGGCAGGGTCGTTTATTACAAGCTTTCCGGATTCGAGACATCTCTCCAACTCGGCGTTGATGAAAGCATCGATGTCGGGTTTGTTATCTTGCACGGAGAGAAACTGCTGGTTCAAAAGCTGATTTAGTTCCTGTAAAGAGCCGGCGGGCTCTGGTCTAACAGACACACACAATGACAACTTGATGAATTTCTGGATCTGCAGTAAAGATGTCAGGATGACTTGTCGCGCTTCCGCATCGCAGTGCATCAAGCCATCAAGAATGATAAAGGCCTCGAAGTGCATCGGCAGTAGATGCTTTAGTAAAATCACAATATCGTCAACCTCAAGAGAACGCTTGTCTCCGAGAGAATCGCGTGCAGCATCGAAGTCATTTGCCGATTGCAACAGTTGTCGCGCTAAGGACCCTATTACTGTTTTCGGAGCCAAACTTTGCGTCGAATCATGCTGGCAGAAGAAGTACGCCACTACTGCCTTCCTTCTCACATTCAAGTTGAGGTCATCCACCATATTGGCGAGAACGACGGACTTTCCCGATCCTAGCTTGCCTATGCACACGAGTGTACGCGATCGTAGCCTTTCTGGATCTTGTGGGGCTTTCCAGTGCATATACACAGCCGAGGTCTTCAGAACAGTCGTGATACCAAGCTTGCGGATCCGCTTCCAGTCCTGTTCATAGTCATACGTAGAACAAGCATCCAAGACCCGCTGGCGCGCTCTCAGCTTTCTTGCGTACGATTGAGATTCGAAGCGTTTAGTGACTTGCGACCTGAACCATGAATTATCCTCGGCTTCTAAGGATAATTGCTGTACCATAAGTAAGTTCACTTCTTCTTTGATGGTGGTCGCCCAGAGCTCAAGGTCAGATTCATAGCCTTTCAGAGAAGCCGTCAAAGTAGAAGCCCACTGGCCGAAGGCTGTCTTCCGACTTAGCTTCATGACATGATGACATAGCTGCACAACGGTGAAGTATTCTAGCATTGATGTTTTGAGCCGTTGGGATTTGGGATAGACGGCGCCCATTAGTTGATAACGCGGTGCAGAGCGGCCCACGGCCATGAGCATGTCGGATAGCTGTTCAAAATAGGTCGAGTACTTGACGATGGACTGAAGACAACATCAGAGGCTTCCCCCGACCGACGTATGTGGTGTTGAAAACCTACAAGGAGTGACATTCGCACCAAAGCCCAGATGCCACAGGCCAGAAGGCTCTGTGAGGCGCCCAGGACGATGTCCCCAAGTGCAGCGAACTCCTGCACCGCCTGAAGAATGTTGGTTAGCCGCGACCCGAAACATCGTCCTTGAAGCCCAGCCGATCGGTTAATCTCCGCAGTCAACTGCATCACATCACGAATACTTGGTGGGATTCCAGCTGCCTGGTATGATCGCAGGGTGGCCTTCTCCCGGGATGAGCAGTCGGCTTGAAACTCGGAGATAGCCTGTCCCAGGCGAACTTCGGGTTTCAGTCTCGCAGCTTTGGTGAGAGCGGTCGCCATCGTGGACCCGAGCTGCGAGAAGAGTGACGATACATAGACCACGTTAGCAAAGATAAACAGGATGTGGTGGGTTTAGAGAAGGAAGGATGAAGATGGTGAGCCAGGAAGACACGCAAGGCTGTGGTGATGGGGGAAGGAAGGCAGTGCTAGTGCCGCCACTAAAGATGGCCAATCATAGCACATTTCAGCTATCATCGTGGAATCAATTATGAGTACTAGTAGCCGAGCGTGAGGAATCTTCAGTTAAATTAGGCCAGTCTGCTTGCTGAAGAAGGATTGATGGACGATCGATGGGTAGTACTATGTGAGAGAAGTACTTAGTACTTACTACTGAGGTGGTCGAGGTGGATAACCCGATCGCGGAACCAGCCTGAGCCCTGATAACAATGCGCATTTTTCGATCGGCCAACCCACCGCTGCTCCAACCATCGCAATGGATACTCTTATCCACTACTGAGAGTACTAGTAGTACTCGTACTACTTAGTAATCCTCCCTGCTGATGCTGGCTTGAACTGTATAAGCCAGTAATTGGGCTCCCCTGGGAATATACTAGTAGTGATCTGGACAAAGAAAACACTCATCAGGTACTAAGATCTGACCCATCCCAGTGCAAAAACCACACCAGGATTCCCACCAGGCAAGCCTTAGTGCTGACACGCTTTCCTTTGAGTTAATTTTACCGCCTCTGATTCATGCATATAAGTAGCTCAGCTGTCATTGTCGGTGACACTTTTCAGAACCACTGTTTTGTGTCTCACTATTGCATTCTCCTCCCCCCCTGCAGCTCCCAACGCCGTCAGCCCGATCGGCAATGGCTGAGATCAGCCTTCGCACCGCCCTGGCCATCTTGGCCGGAATCTATCTCCTCTACAAACTTCTTTCCTTTATCCGCTTCTACATCATCGGTCGTCGCAGCGGATATCCCCTAGTTGTGACCCCTTTGTTTACGCGCCATTCGCTCTGGCAGATCGTAGGTCCAACGTTCCAAGTACAGCTGAAGCGCTATCTTCCCACATGGCTCTACGAACATCTGGATATCCACATCCACGGCTGGGAGTTTCGTCACAAGAATGCTATGCATCGTCGATACGGCAAGATTTTTGCTATTGTCTCGCCTGATGAGTGCTCTTTATGGTAGTCCTTCAGCGACCCTCATACCTTCAGTCTGACATCGTTCTGACCCCTTCAAGGATCGCCGACCCGACCGTCGGTGCAACCGTCTTGCAGCGACGCAAGGATTTCGACCAGCCCGACGTCGTAGCCAAATTTATGGGCTTTTTCGGACCAACCTTAATTCAATCCAATGGTGAAGACTGGACTCGCCAGAGGCGCATCATCGCCCCCCAGCTCAACGAAGCCATCATGGGTGAGGTGTGGGACGAGGCCTGTCGCCAGGCCCGTGCTATGCTCGATTATCTCCTGCAGCATCCTGGCGGCGAGACCTTGACCGGGCTTCGCAGTATCGCCATCAACGTTCTCGGCCAAGCCGGGTACGGACAGAACCAGCCATGGTCACCTGACTTTGTCGAGACTCTGGGGCAGGACTGGCAGGACGCCAGAGTCTCGTACTTCAAGACGATTGCTATGGTCACGGACCGGTTCGTCGAGGCGGTGTTAATCCCGAACTCGCTGAAAGTGATGCCTTTCATGCCCGAGGGGATTCGTCGCCTGGGTCACCAGATGGTGAAGGTGCCGGAATATATCAGGGAGATTTTGGGCGAGGAGCGAAACACTAAATCGAGTGAGGTGTCTAAAAAGCGCCACAATCTGCTAGATATGCTGGTAAAATATGCGCAACATGGCACGGAGAGCTCTGCAAAGCTGTTCCTGTCTGAGGCAGAAATCAGCGGCAATCTCTTTCTGTTTACCGCCGCTGGCTTCGATACGACAGCCAACACAATGGGATACGCTGTGATGTTCCTGGCACAGTATCCCCAGTGGCAGGACTGGATGCGGGAGGAGTTGTCTCAATTGGACGCCGATGTTTCGTCTTGGGGATACGATGTGTTTGCTCAATGCCCGCGCGTGCTGGCTGTCATGGTACGTGATGACTATAAATCAGGAATGAATGACTGCTAATTTTGTCAGTATGAAACCCTCCGTCTCTTCACACCTGTTCTTCACTCGACACGCTGCGTGGCCACGACGCAGCAGATCGCCGATGCGGACGGCACGCACGTGCTGACGCCCCCGATGGACGTATTTGTCTCGCAGCAGAGCATCCACAGGGACCCGAATGTCTGGGGCGCGGACGTGGATGAGTTCCGGCCCACGCGCTGGATCGACGAGGCCGGCCAAGTGGTGACCCCGGCCAAGGGCACGTTTATCCCCTGGTCCGGCGGCCCCAGGATATGTCCGGGGATGAAGATGTCAGAGGTGGAGTTTGTCGGAACGATGGCGGCCCTGTTCCGGCATGCACGGTGCGAGCCGATGCAGGAAGGAAGACTGCAGCAGCAGATGGAGGACTCGATCTCAAAGTTGACACTGCAGGTGAGGGAGCTGCGGGAAGTACAGTTGCGGTGGGTGCCAGCATGATCATCTTGACAAATGAGTATGTCGATATCTACCAGTAAGCCAATCCAACACAAACAATTAATCATACCCTAAACGAATAAGATCGATAAGATAGCAATCACCCACCAATTCATCCTCTTCACGGGTTCGGCACTCTACTGCTCTATGGGTATTAGCCAATCATACGCCCGAGCATCCGGAATACTCGCAAACTCCCCCTCAAAACATACTAGTCTCTTCGACTCTCTCCTCTCTCCTCTCCCATCTTCATCCACCATCACCACCGTAAGCTCAATCTGGTGCACCGGTCCTGACAAGACCCTGATCAACCACTGATAAAATTCCGATGTCTGTAGCTTAAACCACCTCCACCAACCATCCAGCCCAACTAGAAACAGCCCTTCGTAGATAAATATCAGCCCATCATCCCCTCAACTACACCCAACCACCCATCCACAGCATCAACCCACACACACATAATCACAATGTCCCCTCCCCACCTCCCAACCACAGCCACCATCACCTCCCTCCTCACCACCCTCCTCCTCCTCACCTCCTTCTCCCTAACAACCTACACCCTAACGACCTACCTCCACCTCGCGCACACCGCAACATCCCTCGTACCGAAGGTCATCATCCACGACACCGCCATCATCGCCACAACATCCTACCATATCTTCACGACGATCCTGACCTGTCTCACATTCATCACTATCTACTTTCTCTTCCCTATATTCCTCATCACCAAGTCAAACAGCAACAACAATAACAACCCGTCATGGATCCAAAAAGCACTGATCTCCCTCGCAACCCTCCTTCTCACGACAAGTCTCCTCGCCTTCACGGTCATCCTGGCTACCAGAAAGATGTCCTTTGGGGACGTGGGCCCGCGTGTTACTGTCTATTTAGATGAGAGTCTGGGCGAGGAGAGTCTGGTTTATAGGGATGATGGGAGGGGGGTTGCTGGGTTGGTGGTCGGGTGGGTTGGTTGGTTTGGTGTAGTGGTTTTGTAAGTTTGCAATTCTGAGATTTTGGGTGGGTTTGTTGGGGGATTGGCTAATTTTGTTACTTTAGGTGTGGGTTGATGATGTTCGGGGGAAAGAAGGAAGAGAGGAAGGGAGATGGGAAGTGGGTGGAGAAGGGGGAGGTGGAGGAGAGTAGTAGGGCGGAGAGTGTGTAGATTTATTTGGTGGATGGTAAGGGTTTGGAGGATGGTTTTGTGTGGGTGTGGTATGGTACTTTAATGAGGTGATGGGTTATGAGTGATGTTTATGTCTGGTATGAGGGTATCAAAATATATTATGTCGATCGATATACTACTACTAGTATACTACTTAGCTGTTTCTTGGCATATTGTTCGGTCATAGCACTAGTACTGGTATAAGTACTAGATGAGCATATCTAAACCTGCACTCGGTAATGTCACACACGATACTGATATTGATATGAAATAAGGAACAATGAATGTAGTGCAGTGTTAACAGTGCTTTACCTTACTCTGTCTCCTGAAACTGCATAGTAAACGCTCATTCGTCTACTTAAAGTACATATGCAAGAACTAGATCAAACAACCCATTCTAAAACACTGACCCAGTGGCCAATTTAATGACCCTTGCTAACCACCTCCTCCAGCTTCTTCCGGACATCTCCGATCTTCTCCTCCATCATGGCCCGCGCCATACCGCTGTGCGCAATCCCCGTGTACCACAGGTGCTCAGCCTTCTCGCGCACCTGCAGATGCGTGTCTGCTACAGCCGGCACCTGCTTCTCGTACTCCCAGACCAGATCCGACACGTTGCGCATGGTCACGGGCAGCAGGGTCCAGGCAGCCACGGTACCGAAGGCCAGCGGGGACGCCGTGCGCAGGAGGATACCGCGGTTCCGCGACACGATGGAACCGGCCATGGCGGCCACAACGACGTAGACTCCGCCGGGGAGCAGGCGTTCGCCGGACTCGGGCGACGGGGCCAGGGAGGCGACGGTGTTGGTGAAGGCGTTCTCAATGTGCAGGGCACGCGACAGGAAGTTGTTGAACTTGGTCTCGACGGCCAGGGAGTTCTCGTACAGGAAGAGACGGGCCTGACGGACCTGAGCGGTCAGGATGTCGGTGGGCGTAGGGGAAGAGGGAGAGGAGAAGGGAGTGGACACCGGAGCTGCCGGGGTGGTGGTGGTCGGGGCCGGAGAGACGACGGGCTTGGAGACGGCCGGGATCTCGGTCGGGAAGTCATCGTAGATGGGTTTTTTCTGGACGCGATGTCAAGTCAGAAGCGGATTCGAGTGAAAGCCAGCAGGGATATTCCGAGCACGTACAGCATCGCGAGGCTCCTCTGCAAAAGCCGTCTGCCGGGGGTAGAGGGCGATACCGCCAGCCAGAAGGGTGGCCGCGATGGGGGCCACAGCCCGCTGGAAGGAGTTAGCGGGAACTTCAAGTTGTAGACGGAAGAAACAGAAGCTGAGGTATTTACCTGCTTCAGCATTGGCCGGA